CTATTTATTTAATTACCTTTATTCATTTAAAATAAATATAATAACAACGCAAGCGCTAATCAGTACACAACCCGTAGCGTTTACTGTTTCAAATATTGAGTTGAAATAAATATAATGACAACACCAGCGCCAATCGGTAGGTAGGCAGTAATCGCTCCGGGTTGTGTGGTGATAGCCGCTTGTGGTATCTTATTTATTTAATTAATAACCACAGCGTCCGGTAAGCACTTAAGTTGTGAAGGGATTGTCGCTTGTGTTATTTTATTCATTTTAAATAAATAAATGGACCTGTAAGCGTTCCGAGTTGTGTGGGGATTGGCGCTTGTTTTATTTAATTCATTTGAATAAATTATGGCACCAGTAAATGCTACGGGTTGTGTTAGGATTGACGCTTGTCATATTTTATTTATTTAATTAGTAAACAAAGCGGCCAGTAAGCGCGTAAATAAGCAAAATAACACAAGTGCCAATCATTACACATTCCGGAGCGTTAACTAACTGCTTTGTTTAATATTTTAATAAATAAAATGCGACAAGCGCCAATTATTAGACAACCCAAAGCTTTTACTGGTCCCTTTATTTATTTAAAATAAATATGACAACACACCCGTCAATCACTATTTAAATCCTAGCTCTTACTGGTCCCTTTGTTTATTTAAAATAAATGAAATACTCCAAGCATCAATCCTAACACAACCCGAAGCGCTTACTGGTCCCTTTATTTATTTAAAATAAAGGTCATGTTCACACAGGCGCCAATCACCACTGAACTTGTAGCGCTTACTGGTCCATTAATTTATTCGAAATAAATATTATGACAACACAAGCTCCAATCGCTAGGTAGGCCGTAAGCGCTTGGGGTTGTGTGAGGATTGGCACTTGTAGTATTTTGTTTATTCAATTAATAAACAAAGCGGCCAGTAATCGCGTAAATCAATGAAATAACACAAGCACCAATCACCACACATTCCGGAGCATTCTCTGGCGGCTTTGTTTATTAATCAAATAAATAAAATACTACAAGAACCAATTACAACACAACCCGGAGCGCTTACTGGTCCCTTTATTTATAAAAAGAAATCAAATAACACAAGCGCCTATCCTCACTCAACCCGTAACGCTTACTGGCAGCTTTGTTTAATAACTAAATAAATAAAATACCACAAGCGCCAATCACAATCAAACCCGGAGCGCGTACTGGTTCCTTTACTTATTAAAATAAATAAAATAACACAAGTGCCAATCACCACACAACCTGAAGCTTTCACTGGCCGCTTCGTTTATTATTTTAATAAATAAAATACTACAAGCGCCAATCTCCACACAATCTGGAGCGCTTACTAGTCCCTTTATTTATATAAAATGAATCAAGTACTACAAGTGCCAAATCCCAGACAACCCAGAGCGCTTACTGGTCACGTTATTTATTTAAAATAAATAAAATACAACAAGCACAAATGGCCACACTACCCGAAGCGTTAACTGGCTGCTTTGTTTATGATTTTAATAAATGAAACACCACAAGCGTTAATCACCACAAAACCTGGAGTTCTTACTGGTCCCTTCATTTATTTTAAACTAGCAGCCCCCCGTCTCGGCTTCGCCCGAGACTTACTAAATAAAACACCGTAGTGTGTTTACATGTAATGTGAAACATTTTGAGTTTGAAATTTTACACATATTCCTGATACATCTCAAAACAAAAATCTTCTTATTGAAAACATACTTTTTCGGAATCCGTATAGTTTATTTGGTCAAATAATAAGGTGTAAAAATTAAAAAAATTAATTATGCTGAAAAGTACCGTGCGTTCTTTATGCTTTAAAATAATCAGTGGCCATAAGAAGCCGTTGATTTACAGTTTCTCCCTTATAATATACGAGAACGGCTATTTTTCAGAGCTGTTAAGATTTTAAACCCCCAAAAAATTTATGTTAAAAAAAAATTTTTTCTCTCATATCTCACAACTTTATTACCAGAGCAACAAAGTCCTGGACCTTGAACCCTACATATTTATTGCCACAAAAACACAAAAACATTTTCTACTTATTTAAAAATCTGAAGTAGGATCTTTAAAGATTTCAGAGATTGCTGTGAGGGTACAATGAAAAGCTGATCTCTCACGTAATGGACTCTTTAGTTGTCGATTTTGACGCTGCTGTTCCAATTTTGATAAATTTCCTGCGTCAGTTTCTTGACGCCTAAGTAAAATTGTATTTATTAGATACATTTGAAGTTTTTCTTCCACTTCACCCTCTTGCGACTTTTGGTATGCTTCAAATTTGTGTGACCCCTAAAGGCTTTTTTCTGTCAACTTTGTTAAGTTCTAATATATTTGTTGGCAAGGTAGTTCGACGTCCGATGGCCCTAAAAAAGACCGGTGAGCNTTCTCTGCAGCTATATATATAGATATAGCTCGAGAGCAGACAGCTACCAAACTGACGGAAAATTCAAATATGTCGCACAGTAGAACAACTTCTATTAATATCAAGATTTATAATTTAAAATAGATATTGAAGAAAAACTAACACATGAGTCATTACAAAAGAACCTTAAACTTATTATTTTTTAAGTGTATTTCGAAAATGTATTTTTACGTTATGCAATCATCTGCTCTACGTGATTGAAGTCGATTCGGTCTTATCAAGTTGAATTAAATACCAAAAAAACTCTGTTGCAGTATGAATTTGCAACTAGTGTGCATTATTAATAGAACAAATTATTGTGATACAATAAGTATAAAACTATCATTTTGGCGTTTGAAAGTTGGTAACGTGAGTCAGAGCAAATTTAAATATTTATAGGTACAGATATATATATTTATAGGTATACAGCTCGAGTCACTCTAAAGAGATGCGCTCGAATGGGAGAAGGGAGAACGAGCCTTATGTTCACATAAACTGTCATTTGCGGATTGCTTTGATTTACGCGAAATAAGTACCCCTGAGCACAAAGTCAGTTCAAATAATTATAATTATTGAAGCTCACAATTTGTTAGTGCGAGAGTGCAATTAAGAAGTTGAAGTTGTTCTACTGTACGACATATTTGAATTTTCTGCCAGTTTGGTAGCTGTCTGCTCTCGAGAGCGCTATAGCTATACACACACACACACACACACACACACACACACATATATAGCTGCAGAGAAGACTTTATTCGCAATGACTGAAATAATTATTTTACATTGTTTTTCTGTTAGTTTTACAACAATGCAATGGATAATCATCATCGACAATTAAATTGCAAACGATTAAAGTAAGTTTCATAGCCGTATATGGAGTATTTGAGCCAGACAACGAACTTATCCGGACTCTCGCTGCACTATTTAGTTTTTATTTTTTTACAGACAACTGGAAGATCCGACAATTTTTTGCAAAGTGATTGCAAACGTTGCTAACGATTCCGAAATTTTGGGTATTTTTTTCATGTCCCAATTTGAAAGTTATTCGCGGAGTTCCTGGAGCCCAGTCAATGTCAGAAACTGCCTGAGGTAATTCACAGGTATCTTATGTGTAAGAAGCTAAGTAAGTTACCCAGGGTAACTTACCTACCCACCACTGCCCAACGTTGGGGAGGTTGCATCAGCTGGCCATAGACATATAAGAAAAATAGACTGCTCGTTCTTATGTACGATTGTACGGTGCTGAAGGCTGAAGCACAAGTAGAAGGAGACACACAGCATCGAACTTAGGTATCTGTTTTTCCCGTACATTGCCAAAGTTGGAAATGTGCAAGAGAGACAGACCCACGTTCAATGTTGTGTCTCCTTCTACTTGTGCTTCTACGACGTACACAAGAACGAGCAGTCTTTATTTCTCTTAAGTCTATGCTCGTAACATTTAGCTTGTGTAGCGTAGTTATTTAACATAAAGACAGTTCACCGATATTCATATAAAGTCGTTGTTAATAGTGTACAAACCACCGTAACAGTTATATTCATCTATTTTATTTAACAAAAAAATCTTTCAAAGCTTTGCAGTAAAATTTACTGCCAATTTTTCCGAAATTTCAACAAATCTTTCGTACACTTTAACGGTATTTTTTAATTGTGTCTAAGGCGTACATTTACTTACCTTATATTGTACATCCAATAGTCATTTTTTTAATAACAATTATTCAATACAAAGTTCATTCAAAACGAATGTTTTTGCTAGTTTTACACAAAGATAAGAAAGTATATAATTTTTGTATTTATGTTGTAGATGGGGTTAAAACATGTGTATTATTTATCAAGAACGGTTTTTGTCAAAAACAATGATACTGAACGTGCTTGCCGTCTAATGAACAAAATTTTAGGACGTGAAGGCATACTTGATCAGTTTAGACGCACAAGATATTATGAAAAACCGTGTCAAGTCAGGAGAAGAATCAATTATGAAAGATGTAAAGCTATTTACGACGAGGATATGAATAGAAGAATTCAGTTTATGTTGAGAAAAAATCGAGTTGATCCATTTCCAGGGAGCTTCTAGATTTGTCACGTAATGTACAACTAATTGTAATGCTAATAATTGTCATAAAATGTAGCTACAAAGAACATAATAAATACCTACTTACAGAAAATGGTTAGTTGTTTTGTGTGAAAATACTTTATCTTTTAAATTCTGACAATGTTTTTTATCTTTTTCTAGTGTCCGCGCATATATTACTAGTACGTGATTTAAGAGAAATGTTAATCTAGAGCGGAGCTGCAAGGTGTGGCGTACCAAAGAGGACTCATTTCGTGCCGTTCTGCGCTATCCATCGCGACGCCATATGTAGGGTGAGATACGACTACTACAGCGCCAAAGAACCTGTCAAAATCAATCCAAGCGACCAAAGTTAAAACTAAAATCCATCCCACGTACCCCGAGTAGAATTGAAAGTCTTAAACGCATGGTCCAAATCAAGCAACCTGCAAGCCTGGCTGAAGGTGGGTTTGTAATACGGCGCTGACTTGGGCGCAGCTTGGTCTGACTTGGCATGACTTCCGCTCAGTAATCCCCCACTTTCGTCTGCACTGATATTGGATACATATATAAGCGTATAAGTTTGTATATATATCCGCTGCGCGCACACGTCGTACTATTGATATACTTATGTATATAGACATCTCTGTATTATACTGATCTGTATACGAAAGTGGTCGATCATCTCTATGGGTGAAAGTCAGGCCAAGCTGCACCAAGTCAGCGCCGTATTACAAACCCATTGCAGGCCTAGTCAGGTGCCACGCTGCGGCCAAGGTGCGCGGAATGGTAGCCAAGCTTGGGCCCCGTTTTCGCCCACTTTCAATTTCTACTTGTGGGTACCTCATCTCGTAGCGTACATGGTGATGGTGCTGTATTTGGCTCAAAATGCCGTAAATAATCGTAAAAAAAAATATTGGTTAGAAAAATTATTTTTTGCAGTAGTTTTATCTCGAATACCATCCACAACGAATATCAAAAGCTATTCTATTACTGATTTTTGGGTCAAATGTTGTACGGTATTTTGTATGTAAGCTTAAGGAGGCTCCCTCGTGACAGTTCCCCGAACCAAGACCAAATGAATTTAATAGTTAAAAATTTACTGAATCCAATGATATAATTATTTATATCGCTTACTCTGCGAAATTTCGAGATTTTATTAATTTAATGTAGCACTTTCTAACACGTATTCTTATGGTGGATCTCGCACACGCGATGAAAACAACTTAAAAACTCGAATAAATCAACAGTTTCCGTAACAAGAGCGAACACGTTTTGTATAAAAAAAATCTCTTTCAAATGATGCCTAGCAAAGTAAGTGTAACCCTGGAAAATTTCAAGATATTCTATTAAAAATTGATCAAGTTATTATCTTCCCTAGGTTAGGCTGTGTTCTTTTGCGTCAGTGATGCTAAATATACCTAAGTTTTGCAAGCAAATTCGAGACTTCTACAACGAGGGTTGGCATTTCTGCACAAGGGAGCTTCCTTCAGGGAGGCTTCCTCATGTAGAGGTGCCAACCCAAATTGAGATAGATAAAAAACTGAAGTAGTCGGTAGGGAAAGCAACGTAAACATATATGTTATATTTATTCTCAAGTGTGACAATTTGTGCAATTTATTAAAGCTTACCTTTTTAATGTATTATATTTTATTTTCATGGGTATTAAATGTCTCCCAAATTTTTTCATAATATATCAATATGACGGTATTATTACAGTTGAAAATGTAAGCCGTCATTTAATTTACTTAAGCATTTGAATGTGAACTGCGTCCGCTCCTGCCAAGCTATGTGGCGGCTTCACTGACTTCGTAGCAGGACAAGGCTCTGTTTGGAAATGATATACGTTGGTTAAGTTTTTGGTTGGGACCTACCCCCACCCTGGCTTAACTAACCAACCGTGTATTCGCTCATATGTTAACAAAAGTTAATCGTCTGATCACAGTTTGGCGCACTTTGAACGCTTTCAAGTCCTACTCAGCCTCATCAAAGCGCTCAAAGTGCGCCAAAACGTGATCAGACGTTTAACTTTTGTTAACATATGTGCGAACACACGGTTGGTTAGTTAAGCCAGGGTGGGGGTTGGTCTTAACCAAAAACTTAACCAACGTATCATTGCCGAACCGAGTCCATATAAGCTGACTGATGACTTTCTTTGCAATTATTTCAATTTTTAGTCCGTTTAGCTATATTTCATAGCGACGGTATTTGAAAGATGAAGTTAAAATATACAATACATGTATACTCATAATACCCGGCACTTTCGATTGAGGTTGCAAATCTTTATTTTTACTATGTCTGTCATAACCGCTCTTGTTAAAACAGCGACTTCAAGCATTAATTTCTCCAGATTTTGTTTGATAAAGGGTATAAATGAGGCCATCGTTAGATTCGGTGTAATCGAAACTATTACTTCTGATGCGTGTATCTAAGGCCGCGGGCACATGGAGAGCGTAACGCCTACCGCGTAACCATTTGAGCCCAAGAGAATGAGAGAGAGGTAAAATACGCGCACCTCTCTCTCACTCTCATGGGCTCAAACGGTTACGCAGTACGCGTTACGCTCTCCATGTGCCCGCGGCCTAAGCCTCGTGTATAGTCTAAGTATTCTATCTTAGACGAAATAAAAACTGAGATATAAATACTATCGACTGTAAAAAAAATATCGTTCCATTCAGTGCCTCCGTTCAAAAATTGTAGCTGTAAAAAGAGAAACGAAGAAAAATGGCTGAAAATAAGATTTTGTAGATGTTGCCGGAAATTCGTAATTTTTTACGGAACCCCTATAACTTTTGATTAATGGCACTAAATATTCAACAAATTTTTTTTTTAATCGTCAGAGTCTCATTTCAGCAGCCACTTGAGCCTATTTTGCACTGCATAAAATAGTGTACTCCTTTGCCACTAGCGTTCGAAGTGTTCGAAGTGAAATCGATATTCATCGATGTATCTCGCAAAAAAAAACCAACTTACCAAAGTAGAAATTGAAAGTTGGTGAAAAGTGGAGTCAAGCTGGGCCGCCATCCGCCATGCCCCGCATCTTGGCCGCAGTTAGGCACCTGACTTGTCCTCCAGAGGGTTTGTAATACGGCGCTGACTTGGGTGCAGCTTGGCCTGACTTGGCATGACTTTTGCCCATAGATATACTCGCCAACTTTCGTCTGCAGATGAGTATGACACAGAAACGTCTATATCCATAAGTATAAAAATAAGTAGTACGACGTGCGCGTGCACAAAAACACATGAACATATGAACAAACTTATATGCTTCTATGTATCGAAAATCAGTAAAGACGAAAGTAAGCGATTACTGAGCAAAAGTCAGGCCAAGCTGCGCCCAAGTCAGCACCAAATTACAAACCCACCTGTGACTAAGCTTGGTTACTTAATTTGGACCATGCGTTTAAGCTGGGATGCCCACTTTCAATTTTTACTCGAGAAGCAGTCAAGTAAACCAAACGCCGAGACGTCTGAGACATGAGTCTTGATCCTAACAAAACTAGGAAGAAATTAGCTGATCTTATAGATGCGATAGAGCGACACATTACCAATAGTTTTAAATAAGACTGTATAAAACTGTCACGCCTATGTAAACAGCCTCATAGTTTCGTAAAGTTCCAGTGTACGAAAGCTAGACAGACACCTTTTACCATTGAGGGGTCGTCCCGACCTCGAAGTGATATTTAGAGCTTTGGAGTACTATTGTAACTCTATTAAATAATGAAATATTAATTATTACCACAAGCACCTATCACCACACAACCCGGACCGTCTACTGGCCGCTTTGTTTATTAATTAAAAAAATAAAATACCACAAGCGCCAATCACTACACTACCCGGAGCTTTTACTGGCCGCTTTGTTTGTTAATTAAATGAATAAAATACCACGAGCGCCAATCACCACATAACCCGAAGCGTTAACTAGCCGCTTTGTTCATTAATCAAATAAATAAAATACCACAAGCGCCAATCACTACACTAACCGGAGCGTTTACTGTCCGCTTTGTTTATTAATTAAAAAACTAAAATACCACAAACAACAATCACTACACAACCCGGAGCGCTTACTGGTCCCTTTATTTGATGAAATAAATTAAATAACACAAGCGCCCATCCCTACACAACACGGAGCGTTTACTAGCCGCTTTGTTTTGTGAATTAAATAAATAAGATACCACAAGTGCCAATCACCACACAACCCAGAGCTTTCACTGGCCGCTTTGTTTATTATTTTAATAAATCCAATACCCGAGCGCCAATCACCACACAGCCTGGAGCGCTTACTGGTCCCTTTATTTATTTCAAATATATAAAATACTACAAGTGCCAATCCCCACACAACCCAGAGCGCTTACTGGTCCCTTTATTTTTTGAAATAAATAAAAAAACACGAGCACCCATCACCAAACAACCCGGACCGTCTATTAGCCGCTTTGTTTATTAATTAAATAAGTAAAATACCACAAACGCCAATCACTACATCACCCGGAGCGTTTAATGGCCGCTTTGTTTATTAATTAAATAAATAAAATACTAGAAGCGCCAATTTTTACAAAAGCCAGAGCACTTACTGGTACCTTTATTCATTTAAAATAAATATAATAACAACGCAAGCGCTAATCAGTACACAACCCGTAGCGTTTACTGTTTCAAATATTGAGTTGAAATAAATATAATGACAACACCAGCGCCAATCGGTAGGTAGGCAGTAATCGCTCCGGGTTGTGTGGTGATAGCCGCTTGTGGTATCTTATTTATTTAATTAATAACCACAGCGTCCGGTAAGCACTTAAGTTGTGAAGGGATTGTCGCTTGTGTTATTTTATTCATTTTAAATAAATAAATGGACCTGTAAGCGTTCCGAGTTGTGTGGGGATTGGCGCTTGTTTTATTTAATTCATTTGAATAAATTATGGCACCAGTAAATGCTACGGGTTGTGTTAGGATTGACGCTTGTCATATTTTATTTATTTAATTAGTAAACAAAGCGGCCAGTAAGCGCGTAAATAAGCAAAATAACACAAGTGCCAATCATTACACATTCCGGAGCGTTAACTAACTGCTTTGTTTAATATTTTAATAAATAAAATGCGACAAGCGCCAATTATTA